TTAAATTTTCATAAATGTATTATACACTAGTACAAGAGTGTTTTTTTTGAGCTTCTCTCTCCATGTAACCCATACTAATACCACATAGCAAAATTTGAGCCGAGCGTTTCTTTTTACTCTACTGAAATATATCCTACATTCCGCCCAGCTTTCACTCGCTGAAAATGTTAAAAAAATTAGCAACGTCCGGTGCAAACGTGAAAGGTTGAAAGTCTCTGTCAGTGTTAATGATCCCAAATTTATAAGTTAATTAAAACATCTCACCGCGAAATTAATATTCTTAAACAGCAAAATCACAATAAATAATAATGTGTGAGACAACCACACTAATAACCTGGTCTCAAACTTGAGAATTCCCTATACTATGAGTAATAAAGCAACGAAATTAACTCCGGGGCACAACCCAGAACACTCAGACAAAAAACAAATTTTACCGAGAATCGAAAACAGGGCCTTCTCATCTGCTACCTTAGTTGTAATAATATCATATTTATCAAAGTCAAAGTCCTGAGGGGCAGTGCCAGTGCGCCTATCACCCTGAGACATAAGTTGAGAAGTCCCATGTGCCTGTAATTTCACCAGCACCCTTACACTTCCAAACCGGAACGCAGTAATGCTCACATTACTGTTTGGCGGCAGAAATAGGTAAGGTGGCAATACTTCACAGGATAAACTGTTTTACAAGGAGTTCTACTGCTAGAAAATTTCTGGTTTATACTTTGGTTGGATAAATAATTTAGTTAAGGAAATTCTTGCTGATGCTGCCTTATTTTCCAACTTAGTAGTAGTTAGTAAAACCAAACTGTCTTCAATTGCAACAAGTTTGAGCTTGAGGAACAATTTCCAACCGAACTGTTGTGCTCTTGTCCACGCAAGCACTGTGGCGACGTCTCCTTCGATACAGTAGTCAAAATCATATGAAGGCTCCAATAGCAAACCGCAGCTAGTGCTACAACTGTGTACCTTTGTCGTGGAAACCCTGGTCAAGTAACGAAGGTCACAGGCGAAACTCCTCCGTGGTCAGAAGGCTAGCAGCTACTTCCGCCGAACAATAAGTTTAGGCATCCAAAGAGGAAACGTTGCCGTGTTCGTGGCCTTTTTGAAAGAAAGCAAAAAATTTATATTTTCTTTACCTTTCTGTATTAAGCGAATTATTAGTACTTATGCTATTTTCTTTGTTCCAACCTAAGTAAACAAAAGAATTTCCACATCCATTAATGAACATAAATAAAACTCAAGGTTATCTGCGAAGTACAAAGTAGCTATCATCAAAATTTAATGACGTCATTACACTCCGTATCCTTTTCCCCTTTCATTTCGTTTTCAGATTTCATTCTACGTTTACTACTAAGTAAGAAACTTATTTTAAGTTCCACGATGTAATTCCCAAAAGATTTTTTCGAAACGGCGTCACAATCTCACTATAATCCCGACAAAAGTTCATAGAATATCCTTAGGGCGTGTGTTACTAGATATTTCTTTTAGTTCTTCTTTATTTACGATCGGTTTACGACCACAGGGCAAAGATTCTTGTTCGAACTAAACAACATAATATAGATACAATGTTCACAGTGTGTCGTCGATATATATATATACAACAGGAGTACTGTTGGTGTTCTTCAATAATAAGTAATGGGAACTCGCTGGTTTTAATATCTGTACCCCTTACTACAAAAAGTACGCTACGAATAGGGGAGGGTTTAATTGTGACTTTCAATTAATAAGTATATCCTGAAAGTTGCTTAAATCAAAATAATACTTTGTATTGGAATTGAAAAAATAGACATGTTGTTACGAGCAGCAGCCACGAGCGTAAACAGATGCAGAAACTTAAATACAATCTGTACAATACCTTCATAATATTTAGCGTAGAATTATAAGCCACAAGTAAAAAGAAATGACTGCGTGTATACTTCTCACGTATATTTATTCGTGCCATATTAGCAACCCACTCTTACAAACTGAACTTTGTTAAAAGCAAATTGTCAAACTAAACTTTACATCTAAATTACGACTTAAATAGTACAAAATTAAGGCCTTCATTCTTCATCTTCATCGTCGTCGTTGTCGTAACCCAAGGTGGTAGTAGTGTTAAATATGGCTTTCACTACAGCTTTGATTGTTTTTCTTGCGCCTTGCCGTAGTAATGTTAATTTGAATTGCATTAACACTATCAAGTACGTGGACATGTACGAAATGTTCTGGAAAATTATGAGAAAGAATTTGAGTAGATTTAGTTTAGTACCTACAAAGGCAGGGATATTTTGAGTGTTTTATATATTTTAACATATATTATTATGTATATACACAGTGGACTGATTGATTGATTGATATTATGTATAAAGCAGACATCAACTTGCATATGAAATAAACATTTATGTACAATCGGATTCGATATTATGTAGACGAAGAGCCTACAGCGATAGGCGGTCCAAATTATCTTAAAGTCACACAAGCAACACAACATGGCAATTGTAACGCACCAACTAAAATGCTGTTAGAAATCAAATTGGATTCCTTTGGCAACTGCACTACAACTACTTATTTACTGCTAATGCATCTCACGAGCACCATCGGGATGCTACACCTGAATTGTTTTCCGGCAGCATTTCGTTTTCTATTTTGCTTTTGTAATGAAGAAATGCAGCAAATGTAATTACACCTTTTAGGTATTCAAAACTAGAACACTTGTGTGTAGCTAAGCCATGCACGAAGTTAGTATCCAATTCAAAATATTTTTTATCTTATCATTGTTTTACTTACAGCAGTAAATAACTCCCTATTGATATTGGTAAATCCGTCTAGGTTCATAATAGGTGGGTTCTTAGCGATGGCAACAAGAAACATTTCCACTTCACGCTGGGTACTTCGATCAACTGCTCCAAGGTTCACATTCAAGAGACGTATTTGGAATTCATGGCCAACCTACAAATCGCAATGATATTTTGATAAATGCCTAAATGGGGTATTCTTGAATGAATTCATCATTAAGATATCCTTGAAAATTACTACGCAGTGTTCAAAATGTTCTCTAAGTTTAAGTCACGTGCTTGCGTTCAGTTCTAAAGTCGTTAAATGTATATTACTTAAGCATTGTACCTAAATGGATTCTTGTATTACATACACATGACAAAGATTGTACGGACTTACTTTCCTCGATGCGTGGTAAGCTTCGTTACAGATAATGAACAACAAAGTCATGCAATAAGTAACGATAACAAATAATCCCATCTCCTTGTAGCTTAGACCTCTCTCCAGAATCTCTGATAAAGCACCGTACAAAGAGATAACGGTTGTAAAGAATATCACCATACAATATATACCATACATGTTGGAGTAGGCACGACCTGGAAAGAGAATGTAAGGTAATACACATTTTACAGGTGTAACAAAATTGTCCGACCTCATACAACTACTGGTGACCGTACTGATAACAAATATGACTCTGACAAATAACTTTAGCAAAAAATGAATTTATATTTGCGAAACCGTGGTAACCTAATGGCTGGTTTGGTCTACAACCTCAGAAGCAGAGGCCGTGGGTTCTGTGTAAAATTTAAATTGAAATTTACCATGAGCTTTTCGGTGAAGGAAAAAGTCGTTAGGAAACATGCACGTCGAAGAAGGTTCACAATCCACAGTAAACGTGTGAAGTCACCTACCCGCAATCGGCCAGTGTGGCAGACTATGGCCTAAAACCTTCACCTGAGAGGAGCCCCGTGCCCTGCAGTGGGATGTGTGAATGAGTTGGTAATGATGACGATGATGATGACATTTGCGAAAATTGTATATGAGAAAATTTTTCGACTTCTTTTTACGTTTGTTTTAATTAAAAAAAAAAGGAGCCTGTCCAACAAGCTGTTACGTAATTCAGTTTAGTCATATTATCTTTCATCTTTATTTTGCAAAAAAAGCTATGTAATGAAAACAGTATTTCTTAGGTTTCTAGCACAGATATTTTAAAAGGTTATAGAGGGCTATATGTACCCGTCCTTGAAAGGACACCTGGAGACTACAGTCTGACATTCTGGGTGTCTTGACATTTTTACTACGTATAATAAGACGTAACGAAAGACAAGATACGTACGTACAATGGGCATGTAAAACAATGGCTTCCACATTTATATGGCGAACGGCTATGGAGTGAAATACCCAGCCGCCTGCTTGCAGACATTCCCTAACGCTGTAATTTGGGACTTTTAAAAGCGAGAGTGAGTAACGACGGTATCTATTTAAATTTTTTGGTGATTAGGCACTATTTAGGTATGCTTGCTCCATCGTCGACCTCATCGTCACTTTCCATCACGTGTGATGCAGGTAAAAAAGTCTGTAGTTCATGTTTCACGGAAACACGACTCCCAAAAATATTACTTTTTTATGATACCAAGTTACGGGACGACCAAGTCGTGCGCCTGGTGGTAAGCGACACGCCTGTCCATAACAATTGCAGTGCCGTTCAGAGCTTTAAATCACAAAGATCTGAGGGGCACAGCACTACTACTAAAATAACAAAAACAACTAAATCTTTATTCATAATCAACATAGAACAGTAGGAAATTCAATTAATTGCTTACTTTTTGCAAATGCCCGAATACTCTCTAAAAAAAATATGTTGCCTGTAAAATATTAACGCCGAAATAAAAAAAAATACTCAAATACGCACCCAATTGCTGCATCATATGCGATAAATCTACCCATAGATGACGGTACTGCGCCAATTTAAGCGCTGGGTGGTCAGCTTCTAGTGCTTTGTGAAGATTCTGAGCTAATCCTTTAGAAGCTGTCCCAAAGGCGTTGCAGTTTATGTACCTGTATTAAAATGATGATGAGAAATACGATGAACAATTAATTTCTTTTATTGATTTAAAATAGGTTGTCACTAAAAAAATTATTATTATTAACTATATAACTTCACAGTTAGCTTTTGTAAATAACACTAACATATATGATTTTTTTTTTTTCATAAAATATACATGTGTCCCATGGCGATACGGGGAAAAATTTATTGGTCAGATTGTAGATGGGATATTTTGGACATATTATTTTATTTTTTGTAAGTAATAAATACTACATTCAAAGACTTCTTCTGAGAATCGAACCGAACAAAATGTGAAAAAAAAATCAGTAATATTTTTATGATACCAATCGAAAAGGTTAATTATAAAGATTAATTCCTTTTAAGTAACATAGTATCTTAAAGGGAACACCATAAAATTTTACATTTAAGAGAATGAATTATATTGTGTTTTACTGTTGATATTCGTACTTCAAGATGGGCTTCCGGCGGTATAACGATCAAGAACAGCCGGTCTCTTTATTCATATTTCTTTTTCTCTTTTCACTTTTGGTCGGTTCCATTCCTAAGTGAGGCAAGCAACTTTTTTAAAATCTTTGATTGCACTATTATTTACTTTTAAAAATAAAACATGTCTCCATGAAGTAAAATATCCTATCTATAATATTGCCATCCTTGTCACAACTAACACATTTGCTTTCAGTAACTTTCGAGATGTTGGAAACTAAAGTTTTTTTTTGCTAATAAAAAAATATCAATTACTTTGATTTCGCTTAACAATAAAACAGAAGCTAAATAAAATATAAAAAAAGATAAGAGTGGGCGATAGATCTCGTTCCGTCTCAGATCCGTTAATAACGCAATTTCGCTAAAAATATGTATAGATTACGTTTTTTATGATCAGGACGGCAGAATACATGAAGTAACTTTCCTCTGCGCCGCGTAGCCACGGGACATCCTGTATACGTTAATGAGCATTCATATGATAATTTGTACATACCACAAAGAACAAAATCCGTCCAACATAGCAATAATATGGTAGTAAGCAATGGAATGCCACAATTCAAAGTCGTCTTGCAAATAGTGCTGCGAAAGAATAACGGCGAAACTGAGGCCCCAAGAGAAAAAGCAGAGACCCCACGTCAAAGGGTATAGATTAGGAAAGACAATGTGTGTTCCCGTGATCTTTAAGTATTTCAACTGGAAAAAATAAAATGGAAAATAATATTAACTATGAAAATATTTCTTTTTCAAACATGTTAGCATATTTTCAAAAAACGAACACGGAAAGTTTGTCATTTATATATTATGAATCGTGCTGCTTCTACTCGGCCAAGACTTGCAAAGTAAGTATGAAAATCAACTGCCCAGTGTTCGTAATTGCGAGAATTAAAAGTACCTAAATGTACTTAAAAAAAAGAAAAAGGCCGTATAATAACATCTTCAATTTGCTATTGTCCTTAAATGTCAAATGTTACTTTTTTAACATTTTATTTTTTTTATTTATTATATATTATACATTATTCTCTTTTTAGTCTTTTATTATTTCCTCAAATTGTTGAGAAAAGCTAGTGCTAACGAAGAAAGAGATTGCTTGATTCGTATTAATGCAATAGACACAATACAAAGTTCGAGGTTTGCTTGACTCGTATTGTATTAATACGAATCAAGCAATCTCTTTCTTCTTGGCCTCCGCGATAATGTACTGTTGCTAACTTTTGTGTGCGCTACTTTTATCTAAGTGACATCGACGTTTTGAAACAATAATCGATAATTATGATGGACTGTTACCAGAAGCTTTACGGAATCAATAAAGTATCATAATCACTTTTATTGCAGTAAGTAAATACAAAAAAGTGATAAATACGAAAATAAAGCAGTTGCTTTTATAATTTACTTTAATAATATAGGTGGGGTAAGGGGGACTCACTTTATTTTGGGTTAATTGTTTTGAGCTTCATAAAGAACAGGAAAAGCTTATAAGAATGTAGAAGTACACTAAACTTGCTTTCGTTTATCAGCTTTACGAGTTTTAACAATCATTACTCTAAACTCAATACTTGCGATGTATTTACAGAAAATGTGCAAATGTGCTAATGTTCCTCTGCCCCCAAAAGATAGGGCAAGAGGAATTGTCACCGTATTATAAGAGTAAGGTGTCATACCTTGTCGTGTTGTCAAGATTATATTAACAACTGTCAAATTATAGGAAATGAAACTATTTTTCCGGATGTAAATCGCGTATATTTGTTTTTTCAAACAAACCGATGTTTCGGGCCCTTTACAGGTCAGTCAACCGTGACTATAGGACCTGTAAAGGGCTCGAAACGTCGGTTTGTTTGAAAAAACAAATATACGCGATTTAAATCCGGAAAAATAGTTTCATTTCCTATGTGTAACAATCGCGAAAACTTAAGAACTCGAACTGTCAAATTAGTTTTTTCCGCCTTTGGGATATGAAATCTTATTTCTTTGTCTGTTTTATTCACTGGAAGATTATTATTGCTAAACTCTTTATATTATGAGTTAAGGCGACATATTTCAACGCGAGCCTGTTTTTTAGGAGGTCAGGTGTGGGAGACCGCCTCTCGCGTCCCGCAACCCGCCCGCTTAAAATTAATATGAATGAAATAAGAACAGGCAGAGAAAATTCGACACAGATGGGACGTCGACAAGCACTGACGGAGCAGCAGCGTATCATTAAACTGCTGGACTATTTTCAAGTTTTGGGATAAATGTGTATTTCATAACTATCGTTTCATAACAGGCTTCAGTTGAACACCAAATTATAGTGGGTTGTCTATAGTACTTGAAGAGAAATATCTCCATGTAAAAATTGCATATCGACTGTGAACTGGCTACCGGTACCATTTCAATTTTTACAACGTTATTAAATAATAACAATAATGTGTAATAACAATATTTAAAAACTATGTATTTTTATTTAATAAACCAGATGCGAGATGAGAACTTTGCATATCACAGTTGATCCCGCTTCCACCCAGGTGGCTCGCCTTTCAAGTCCCCCTTTCCCCAGTGTTCCTCTTACCCTACCTGACATAAAATTAAATTTTGGTACCTGATAATGAGTCCACATATTTTTAAAAATGGCAACTTGAGGCCCATGTCTCCATGAAGCCACGGGTAGCAAGAAATGCGGGATCAAAATGCTCAAGAAGATAATATTGTAAATGACTTCATCGAACCGTTTATTTGAGCTTTTTTGAAAGTTTTCCAACCGCTCCCTTCCCACTGCAAAATAAAACCAGAGCGTCTACTCCCGAAAATAAAATCCGATACACGTAGCTGCGTACTTCCTTCGTTTTAATAATTTCTTACTATGAAACGCGTTATGTGCCCGATTGTGGAACGATTGCGGAATGAAACTCGTGATTTATATGAGTGTCCGACGTCGAACATTGATTAAGCTACTACGAAAAGCCATCATAACCCCAACACGTCATACGAAATATGAAGCAAGGATCATCGTTTTAGCTTCGTATCGGACCCGGCAGTAACGACGAGTCGAAGATCGTGATTTGACACAAGTAGTTGCGGATACCTGAGTCCGAAACGCCAAATGACAGCTTCCGTGTCGTATTTTGACACTACTTTCATCGTAGTACTGACATAAAACTAACGTTAGCTCGAGCGGTATCGTTTGTACTTCGTTAGTATAAAAAAATCGTGAATACTTAAATTAAAGTGATAAAGATTCACTTAAACCACTCACTGATATTAATTCTATACTAATGCATAAATACACTTGCTTACATTATTTGGAAAATACACATGCTTCCACTATTTGGAAAATTCTTTCTAATATCAATCTTGAGGTTGGAAATGCATAGAGATCGTTAGATTAATATTATAAAATTTTCAGTTTTTTAATATACTCTCAAATTACATTCTTTCCTGCACAAACTCACTTTTTGTAATATTTGAGGATTTATAAATGCAAAATAATAAATTCTCACATGACGTTCCCGGATATTCCCATAATACAAATACAAATAATACAAATAATTTATTGGCAAACGGTATACATCTGTAGATAGGCTTTGACAACCACACTATAAGAAGTAAAACATTCCCAAATGGAATATAGATCGACTTTAATTAAACGTTTGCAAGTCGATAATGATTTTTCGATAGACTATGGTACAACACTAAAGGAATCCGCCATTTGTTCAGTAAATTTTTTGTATAAGCATGTAAAAGAACCTATTTCACCATTCACGTTATCGGTCCGTTATTGTCTATGGGATCCGAAGCCCAAAACGAAAGCGTTGTGACCATCGAACTGCGGACGGCTCACGGATCGTTTTGATTTCGTACGCAGCTGCGGTTGTATATTTTGAGAGTAAATTTTCAGCAACTTTATTTTTTGATATTTTTTATAAAAGCGTTCGTATGACGTTGGTATTTTACAAATACAATGTGTTGATTTGCATTCTCGCCATATTTACAGAGGTCATTCTATATCCGAAACTGGGGGCTAAATGAAAAGACGCGTGATGCGAATGAAGCTTTATACTTGATACTTGTCTTTTAATTTTGTCGAATATTACTTATTTGACAGTAATTGTTTCGGACGGATGTCGGACGGAGATCGAGAGTAGACCCCTGAACCCAAATCACTAAAAAAACAAATCGAAAAAAAATTTCGTAAATCCCTACTTTTAATTTATTTGCCATAAACAAATTTGATCCAAAGGTCATTGGCTTGCACGGCACTTGCAAACATTTTGAACTTTTAGATCTATTTGGTGGTGGGGTGCGGGTAGCGACGGCGGGGGAGCATCGTATCGAGCGCGCGATTGGTAGATCCGTCGACCTTGCTTCCCGTACTGCGTCTACGTCACTCTAACATCCCATATACATTCCATTCTAGTATGTCACAAAATACCACGTGGTTTGGTTTGTAAACACGAGTTCGTAGTGCAAGAAAGAACTGCCATGTAAACCTTGTTGCGGTGGCGGTGGCGGCATCAAGTACAAGTGCGTATCTATTCTTAAGGCATGATGTTTAGTTTACGCGGAGGATACGAGTGTGTAAGTTTCTACTTTGAAAGTTGTGTCTAATGTTGAAACGAAACTCACGTGCGAATCTCTGCATAGTTGATGGTGAAACTAGGTACTTCTAGCAATACTTTCATGTAACCTAAAGTTGGTAGGTACCAAATCTAAGTACAAAAAACTTTTTTCAGTCAACTTTTCTAATAAATAAATAGTACATTATAACAATACTAGTACATACTCATAATTTAAAAAAATAGGTGAATAAGCTATCGAGAAAGATTACGTATCGCTCGGTGAAGCGTGTGGCGGGGTCACTGCTCCTGCGTGGTTCATACGACTTCGAGACAAGTTTGCAAAACTTTACTAACTACAATTAGCCAGAATATTGAACAGTATATATTTTTAATACTTTTAGATGATTTAGCATTATTTCTATTATTTATTTCTTAAATACAGCGAGAATTCAAATCAACATACTATATATTTGAATCTGTTAAGCGGTCAGGTAAATATGAACCCTACTGAATAATCTAACTATTTCTTTGTCCTCTCAAATATCAACGAAGTTTTTTCTTGTCAAGGTAATGGTAAAATTTTGGCGACTTGGGTAGCCCTATAGTTATTATTGTGTCAGCTGGATGAGAAGGTCGCAGGTTCGATTCTCGATAGGATCAATTTGGGAAATAAACTTTTCTAAATTGTAGTTGGAAGCCAGGTAATTGGTGTAGTCGTCTGGCAAAAACAAAAACAAACAAAATTAACTAGGTGCAAGTGCCATTTTACTATGGATTAACATCCATAGTCAAGCGTGTAAGATTACCTCTGACAACAATGATACTTTCCAGTCCCCAAATAATATACGCCCAGCATGTGGCTTTTGATATCCAGTTGAAAGTTGTTCGCTTAGTAGTTCGAGCATCTGAAAAAATTAACCAATATTTTTTTGTAATTTCATCTACTAAAACCTTTTCCGTGCATAAACTTTATAAAAGCCGATGTAAATGTTTGTAGACAAATACAAATAGTCACACAATTTTCATCAACAAATAAAATAAAATAATTAAGAATATGACTAATTGGCATTAATGGACAAAATGCGTAAACTACAAGCAATTACAGGAAATTACGTAATTCCTTCACTACACAAAAAAGAAAGAAAATAGAGAAAAAAAATCGAGTTAAAATAAATAAGTAAAAAAAAGCATGTCAAGAGTGTTCATGACTCAGCATCAGAGGACAATGCTAATAATAATACTTTAGAAATGGATTAAAATAATTAAAATATATATTTTGGCACAAAGACTATTAAATTCAATATATTTGAATAATTTGACACAAATAACCATTAGACAAAGAAAATAATCATATCTATTGTGTAATAATAACAATAATAAACGCAATGAAATTTGAATGAATTTAAGTATTGCGTAATACTAAACATATACAAATATACAGAACAGGTATATAAACACAGGCAGATATCTACTTTGTTCTAAACTTATACACAAGGAGTGCGAAAATTATACAAATATTTTATCACCTCACTAGCTCGGAAAAGCTTTGTTTCTCATTAGAAATCTGCGCGTAAAAGCGTTTTTAGCGTCTAAAAGATTTTTGAAATTTGAACTTGACGATGGACTGTGGTACACCTAACATTTTCGATGAAAAAACAACATAATGACACGTTCAACATATACGAGGTAACATAAATCCGTTCGTAAATTTTATTCTTATTATTATTGTCGACGATAAATAGAGAACAATAACGAATTTTGTTTGTTAAAATTGATTTCTTATGGTAGTTCAACTGTTTTACTTTCATCTAGCATTTTCCTGGTTATAGTGAGGTGAAATGTTGTGTGTTTCGTTCGGCAGCAAAGTTGTTTTGCGTGTCGTGGCTTGAAACCCTCGATACGCTCAGGATTCTATAGAAGGACTCGCGTTAATTACAAATTTGCAGCCTAGCACAACAAATAACTATTAACAGTTTATTTTCTGTGAAAATATTTTTTTCAATTTTTGCTATAATTTTACATAATCTCCACGGAAAATGTATTTACATGAGTTAAATGGATGAAAGTAATAGTTCAAGCAAACTTGAATTTTGTAGAGTTTTGGAAAAACGCCTTGTCTTTTCTGTAAGATGGTGACTTTTTCTATTACTATTATGTGCGGTTGTCCTGACAAAAACTAACTTCTGGGCACTCTCATGATGGGCATAACTCCCATTATTTGAAACAGCACCAGCAAGCTTTTCGTAGTCTTGTAAAAACTGTCATGATCGTCTAGTAGTTTACCGTCCTTGTCAGTGATTTTGGGTCCATACATGTCTTTTATTTGTTGCTCTGAAAAATACATGTAGTATTTAAAATTGCGTTCGTATTTGAATATCTTGTACGCTAAAATAATGACGTAAGGTGTCTTTTGTTTACGTAAGGTTCTTATTTCACTATTTTGAGTAATTTATGTACGTTTCAATATTACTAACAAAATTCCTAAACTTTTCCATCTTTTGCTGAAATTTCTAGTATCGCTTAAAAATAATACTTGCTTTATACAAATATACAATTCTTCACACCTACATCAATGCACTCAGCGTTATCAGTGGAAAACACTAGACCATCAATAACAAAAGACAATTTATTCTTGTCAGCCGTAACTTTTACTACAAAGTAAATAAACGGAACAGCCAATCTCGTAATATTTTTAGAAATTTATTTACTGTTTAATTAATTATATCATTTATATATTATGATTATTTGATATAGTATAACTTTGTTAATTTAATATTAGGGGTTAAAGTATGAAATTGCCGTTTTATTGCAATAGGTTCTTTGAATTTTCATAGAATCTTCATGGTTTGAGGTTTTCGAATGAAACTTTTTTCAAATGGTTTCTGGGATTTTTTTTTTTAATTTGAAACATTTGAATATCGACTTTCAATTGTTTTTGTTATTCAATTTAGACAAGAAAGATGGATACTGCGAAAATTCGAGTGATTTTTGAATACGAGTTCCGACGCGGAACTAACGCGGCAGAAACAGCCCGCAATATCAATGCTGCGTTTGGAGAGGGGTCTACTAATGAACGCACCGTGCGATTTTGGTTTAAACGCTTTCGTGATGGAAATTTCGACTTAAAGAACGAGTCACGAGGAAGACCGCCCACACAGGTGAATAACGATGAATTAAGAGAGATAGTGGAAGCCGATCCTAGTCAAACTACCCAGGAATTAGCGACATGGGTTAACGTTACCTTACCCACAATATTGACTCACTTGCGTCAAATCAATAAAATAAAAAAAAACGAAAAATGGGTGCCTCTTGATTTGACTGATCTGCAGAAAGAAACGCGTGTTGAAACTTGTGTTGCCTTGTTGAACCGGTACAGAAATGAAGGAATATTGGATCGAATTGTAACATGTGATGAAAAGTGGATTCTTTATGATAACCGGAAAAGAAAAATGCAATGGCTGACCCCAGGTCAAATGCCACAACAGTGTCCTAAAGCAAAACTTACCAATAAAAAGGTAATGGTAACTGTTTGGTGGTCTCAGCATGGTGTTATTTCACTATAGTTTTCTCCGATCTGGTCAAACAATAACGGCAGATGTCTATTGTGCCGAAATCCGAACCATGTTGACAAAACTAGCAGTAAAACAGCCCCGACTCATGAATCGATCTTCACCATTATTGCTCCACGACAACGCGAGACCTCACACAGCACGAGAAACCATTTTGACCCTTCAGGAACTGCAGTTAGAAACTATTCGTCATCCTCCGTATTCACCAGACCTTGCTCCAACGGACTACCATTTTTTTCGTGATTTGGACAATTATCTACGTGACAAGAAGTTTTCTTCCCAGGAGGCAGTACAAAATGCTTTCACACAGTTTATGCAGTCTAGATCGTCGGAGTTCTATCGCAAAGGCATTAATAACCTTCCCATTAGATGGCAGCAATGTATAGATAATAATGGCAACTATTTTGATTAAATAAATTTGTTAAAAATTTAAAAAATAAACAATTTAGATTTTCAGTACAAATCGGCAATTTCATACTTTAACCCCTATATAATACAATTCAATTCATTTAAAAACTAAATTAATTATATAATTGTGTCAATCCGCAACGTAGGCTTAGATACAATTATAAATCAGCAACAGGCTTCGTCACATATCGTAATGCAATTCGCCAGACTTAGCCATTTTTATCCAACTAGTAGTACATACAATGAAAAAGGACCGCTCTGAATCTTAGCTGGATCAAACGTCCCTATAACACTGGCAGCATTATCGCGCTGAATAGCCAACGAAATTCGTTGCACCAAGTAAGATCCAGAGCTTGGATCCCAGCCTCTCATTAATTAATTGAATATATTGTGCTGGGTACTATTAGTAATCAGTAGAAGAAAAGATATTTTATCTTTAAAGTCTTTAATACTTACTAAGTAAATTAATTCATTATTGGAGATTCAATAACAGTACTCGAAATAAATGCAAAAATACTCCAATTTCAGTATTCGGTGTCTTAAAAAGGTTGACTTAAACAGATTATTCAAGATTTTTTTATGGTTAAGGCCGGCGACGTTTGGAATGCAAATGTAATTTGGGTCAGCAGATAAGACAATTTTATTCAGTAATCTTTGAAAGAACTCGGCCCTCACTAATACATCTTGTAATTTTATGTTTTTATGAAGTTTTTGTAATATATTCTTGCAAACAATCTCACGACTCATCTAGAATTTCAAATTAGCCGTAGATTTGTGGCCTAATCGGTGCATTATATTTTTGAAAATGGTAACTAGTCTAAACGCTATTTCTGTTACTTTTTATGAACTTAATGCAATTTAATTGAATCAATAGTGGTCAAGTACACTATTATTTCTGAACTTGTTTCTGAAATTGTATATCGTCGAGAGAGTACGTAATACTTTCGCTGGTCCAAATTTTAGGCTCAAATAGATACTCGAGAAAACTCAAAGTCATGGACAATCTTACCGTCCCACTCCTTTCTATCCTCCTTCCCAAACATATCTCGCTTTCGTATCTCCTCATTTTGATTCGGATTGTACATTCGAAATTTCTCTTTGTTCATGGTCGGTTATTTGTTTTCAAATCGTGAGTTTCACAAGTGAAATAAAGCCTTCGGTTTCTCGACGCAGAATGAGTTCTGAAAGCATCAGTAACAAAATACTACATAATCAATCATAACCCACCCGTCTCGGCTTACTTGGTAATGCGCGTTTGTCAATAGCCTGGTATGGAGTAGCTACCATTAAAAAACGATTATAGTTGAGTTTTTTTTTCATGATACCAAGTGACAGGATGAATAAATCGTGCGCCTGGTAGTAAGCGACACGCCTGTCTATAGCAGTTGCCAGTGCCACACAGAACTTTAAATCGCAAAGATCTGAGGGGTATTGCCACTGCGCTTGTTACTCTGAAACATAAGTTGACAAGTCCCATGTGCCTGTAATTTTACCAGCACCCTTACCCTTCAAAACCGGATTGCAGTAACGCTCACGTACTGCACTGGACGAACTCTTTCACAAGGAACTCTACAGGTACTAAAGTGAGTTACTTTACGTAATAATATTTGGAGCCGACTGGACACTAATGTGAAAAATCTTATTTAAAAAAAAAAATTAGGTATCTACTCAAACTTTGATGAATGATTCAACAAATTTAATCATAAAACAGGATATGATGCGTCATTCTCTCAGATTCTCAGAATCTCAGATTTTCAAAATTATGCGAATATTTTAAGAACATTGTATTAAAATTTTCAGGCTAAAGAAAGGATTTTTCTTAAATAACTCTTCGTGTGAATCTCTATGTATGCCTGTGTTCGTAGACACCTTTATAGGAGCGGTATACCGATGACGCCGCAACGTCGCTCGTTGGCCATTAATTCATATTTTACACTAATGGCGACTTTCGAAAACACTTAACGGCCTGAGTGAGATGTTAGGTTGTGGACTTAGCCTTAAATATTTATAAGTAGGGGTGTGAGTTTTTTTGTGGCAGCTTTACAAGTTAGAATGGAAAAACATTGGAAAATATGTGTAATTTTAAAATTAAGGAGGAGGCCATAGTCCGCCTTAAATTTTGCACATAAATTCCGAAAAACTTTTCTAAGTTCTTCTAAGCTTCTCTAAGCGAGTCTGGCGTTGAACCCACGGCCTCTGCTTGAGAGGCGAAAGATCATTAAGCTATCACGGCTTAAATATAGAAATATAAATTGTATTCTAAATACTAATAGCATAGTGAATAATAAATAGAGTAACACTAAAAGTAATTGCTTTTGACTGCTCATTAGGTACATTTTGCAGAAGAATAATTGAGTTATCAAATAAAATTATTCAGCAATTTCTACAATGTACGAAAAAATAAATAGATCATTGACATAATCTAAGAATAACAATGGACTTAGAATTGCTCCTTGATGCACGCGGAAGGCAAGACAAATACAAACCCTCTCGGTATTCTCACCTCATGCTGCGTACCTAACTGGTTCCATAACTGACGTCCTTGTACTATGTTGATGTCAGCGCTTTCTTCTGTTTATGACATAAGCTTCCTACTGTCTGTGCTAGTAAATACATTTTTCTTACAGTGTACTTATTCGTTGTTATTTTTGTAGCTGGCAATAATTCTACTGTCAGTGTCATTTTGTACGTGCTTCACGAAAACGGAAATGTATTCCATAAATTTCTATATTAACTGAGTTCGCAGCAAATAAAACCTGTGGTATATCAAAATACAAATTAAAAATTTATTTCAAACAAATAACTTGTGCATGTAATATGATTTTCTTGGTAACCTATAACAAAATCGAAAATTTTTTGTCCGAAATAACGTTCGTTCGAATTTTCAATTATAACGAAACAGTTGTTCTTTCAGGATATGTGGAATGTTTATCGCAAAGACACGATTAGGTTAGATTAAGTTTAAAAGAAAAAACATTTTCCTCTCAAAATTACTTTCGAAGTTATGAAATTTCGACCACACGTAATTTCTGGAAAATGTCATTTCGTGCTATTGATAGGTAACCGATTTTCTTGTTTAAATGAGGATAGGGATAAACGCAATGTGTATGTGCGCATGGTGTGTGTGTGTGTTTTTCAAGCATTCTTTTTTTAAATATGATTTCAATAACAGTTTTATTCTGGAAGTCTTGGTTTTTATAACTAAATAAAAACCAAGACTATAAATTTATGGTTTTAAAATTGCTTAAAAGCATGCAAAACGCTCCCTGTATGTTTACCTTTCAATCTGTATTGATAGGTGAACATTCAAATGGGTCGTTCATACATTACTTTTATCAAAGCGATGTTTCCGCAAAAACTTTACATGGTCAAAACGTTCTTTGAAGAACCTCTAAATAATATAAAACCGAGAAACTTAATAATTTAAATTTAATTGAGAAAAAACACTTTTGTAGTATCATAGATCCATACGGCTAGGATCAAAACGAACAACGAGACCCTAAAGACAAAACACTCGAATCCTGACCTAAACATTTTAAAGTGTCATAATTAGTTTAATTAAATTTTTCACGCCACGATACTTGCAGTATTATTTCCGTTTGATTTTGCTTCTAGTGTTAACCATGTCATACGTAAATCTGCCACCCAAGGCATGAACATCATAAGGTTGGGATGACTATGAAGATAATTTACTGAAAGACGTTGTATGATATATTGGATGGCGAATAGTAATATCTCATATTGTCAATAATGATCAAATCCGATACGCTGTCGGATTAACTCGGAACAGCGTCTAATAGATCGTATAATCTTTTACAGGATCAGTTTCGGGAGTCTGGGAAACCAAGGAGGAAAACATACGGCATTCGCTCTTGCTGCAGACGGAGATATAAGGCCTATAATCTGACTAATATTATAACTTCTGCAGTGATTTGTTTTTCAAGTTTCTTTGTTGATTTCAATAAATGAATAATCTTTATTCATTTAAGATAATGTACATAGTAAGAAATTGTCTCACAAGTTGCTTTTGTATGTGGATGCCTGTACGCTTCACCATTAAAGTATTCACTTTTTGTTTTATCCATTCCATTAATACCAGTCTTTTATTTTTGTATAAATCTCATCTCTCATCTCACTATAGGATAAATAAATTAGGACGGTTAAATCCATTTTACTGAAGTCAATTACGCTGAAGCTTTATGTTTAGTGTATAGTATGGAACCGAGTACAAGGGAGTATAAACACTGAACCAATACTGAGATTGGCGTATTGGTAAGATTTTTTGATAACACCATCTGTGAATTAACGGTTTGCATGTTGGGTTCTTGATGATCTATAGGGTTTGATTCACGGTAGCGCTGATTTGGGACATTAGCTTTTCTAATACCCCAAACGCCCCATAGTGAATTCCTGTGCTATGATACTCATGGCAAAGGGGATTCCCTAGATTGATACCAGGTGTATTTGGTGTGATTATATGGCGCATTATTATTATTATCTCAGTTATGTCAGGAATTTCAAATAACGAACATAAATTATTGAAATCGTCACTGTGATTGGTTCAGATGAAGCGCGCCGAACTTCTCCGTCGAACCGTAATAAAATATGCAAACTATCAAATTTTGACTTAGACGACGACGTTAGAATTGCACCAACGGGGTTACATACTTTATAACGAGTACAAAATTGTGAGTAGAAGCTTGTGTTATAAAAATATGAAGCATAAGCAATCAGAACATTCTTTAACGTAATGATATTCAAAAGAATTGCCACCGGAATTTGTTTCATGTTCCAATAAAGCTAAGATTTGGATTTAGATTTATTTCTTATCTTGTAAACTTTACATTATTATATACAATATATTGTATTACAAGAATCGTTACACATAGTAATAAATGTTACATTTAAAAATTACGAATATCCAGTACAAGTTTTGTACTATGTAATTTTAACATAGTTATGGGAAATAATGTAGGAACATATTAAATAATACAATAATAATTTGTCAATATAATGATTGTATGCGTTAAGTTTATGTTATTTATTCATTTCTGTAAAATAATATTTATAACTAATAACCCAATAAATTACAATATATATTACAAGACGATGTCCCTATATTCTTCAGTGGAATAATACGCATTTCCAACAAAAAGTATTTCAATCGACAATCAAACATTTCATCAATAAGCGATAATTTATCGAAGGTCTATACTCGCATTTTAAAGACTTTAAAATGGGTTAGGGTATTCAAAGTCGGTATCAATAAACCGCCTGAATACGTAAAATTCAAAGCCATTACAATTGGACGTGTATTAGCAAAAGCAAACAAGAGTTTTAATTAGAGCCAACTTGCTATAAGACTTTAAAATTAAATTTCAGCGATGGAAATATAATTATGAAAATAGCTCCAAGGCTCGCCTTTGTCGAACTTAAGAACAACAAAGAAAATTATTAGTTATTGGAAAAAATTTGGGGAGCTCTTATGGTACTTCATTATTTAATTTGGTTAAATTGGACTACTTATAATAATATAGTATACAAATTTAATCATAATAGAGAATAGACCATACTGTGTACCTTAACTGTATTATTATTATTATTGGACATGTGTATATTTGTAAAATATTATTTACGGTGCTGTAGAATTCTTGATTTCGTTTTTGCTTTTTAGTTCGTAGTACTCCAAAGGGGACATAACTAGTTTTTGCTTGAGCAAAAATTAATAAGTTTTGTTTTGTTACAGCAGATTTTTGCGAAATCCATTTCAAGATATTACAACATGACAAATTTTTGCTGTTGTGTTTGTTGTTCTTGAGGAATTCTTGTAATAAATCATAATTTATCATTCCTGGGGTGTAGTCACCAAAAGTTTTCGTTTTATAAGTATACTTTAGAACAAACTCAAAAACAACGAAAAAATCTTTAGGCGCCATATTCGCAAAACTATGATCATGTTGGTTGACACGTTGTTGCTTATCAGCATCCAGTTATTATTGAGGGGAAGATAGAAAAAAAAGAGAAAAACCAAGAAAAGCGTACAGAGAACAAATAAAAAAGAACTTCTAAGTGAGCACTTATGAAGAAGCAAAGGAGCTGACTGTGG